AAAAGTACTGTAGGTCAGTGGTGAGTCTTATAGTCACAAAAGATTAGCAGGGTTGAAAAATTATACATTAAGAGAAGAACAGTGGAAGGAAACTGTAGGTTTATTGTCACAAGAGTAGCAGGGTTGAAAAATTACACATTAAGAGAACAACAGTGGAAGGAAACTGTAGGTGGTTCCAAGTGTGTAGAGACAACAGTGTAAAGGTGCCCATTGGATGGATGACTGTGTAATAACAGGATAGGATCCTAGGAGAGAAGTCCCCATGTAGTAATAAAAATGGGAGAGAGGGCTGTGAAATTTTCGATCTTGTGTGCCAGAATGACATTGACCAGGGCCCTGCATAAAGCAGATGGACCATGGAAATATACCATATTTTTCCATGTATAAGACTATACTTTTGTCTAAAATCTTTAGACTAAAAATTGAAGGTCGTCGTATACACGGAAGTAAACTGTGGTGAGAACAAAAAGAAGTGGAGGGGAAATCAGGGATCAAAGCGATTCTGCAATACTTTTAACCCTTTCCTCCTACACTTGCTAAGCCCCACTTAGATTTCTTAATTTTGGATTAGAAAAGTGGGGGGGCATCTTATACATGGGGTGTCTTATACACGGAAAAATATGGTAGATGCTTATATTATGTTTATATTGTTCCATAGACAGTTAATCTTTCTGCACATTGTGTGAATGATTATTTTCTGTGTGGGGTTCCTCCACAGCTGCACATGTTGCGTTACTCGGACACAGGTCAAAATGAGAGCTGGTGTTCGTCCCTTGCCTTGTTGGACAATGTGGAGTTCATGAGAAATTACTGGCAACCCACTGCTTATTTGGAGACACCAGCTGAAGTCACCACTGGTTAAGAAAATCTGGGACCCAAAGGAGCTTTTAATTAGAGCTACCTTGCTGCCTGCAGAATTCTGGGAATTGCAATCCAGAAATAAAAATCTCCGGGGCAGTGGTTCCCAAACTTAGGTCCCCAGATGTTCTTGGACTATATCTCCCAGAAATCTTGGCCAGTATAACTAGTGGTGAACACTTCTGGGAGTTTTAGTCCAAAAACACCTGGGAACCCAAGATTGCAAACAACTGCTAGGGCACAGGTCTGGTTTGGGGGCTTTTATTCTCCATACCACTAATGATTTATCTTGTCTGTATGTACTCTGTCCGGTAATTGTTTTTCAGATGCAGGAATATAAGCCTTCTACCCATCGTATTTTTCGCCTGAACAATATTGCAAAAGCCCTTAAATTTTTGGAAGACAGCAATGTAAGTAACATGAAAACCGAAAACCTAATCTTCACTTTATCCAGTTTATCATTGCAAAAGGGGAAAAAATGTCATATGCCTAAAATAAGGATGTGTAAACGAACGGAATTATGCCCTATTTATTGCTGAGTCTAAAAAGCTGTATAAAACATGTTCCTAGGAAAAGAATGACTTTTGAAATGTTGTAATGTAATGGTTTCAGTGGAATTAAAGGATCAGAAACCAAGTATTAAAAGGGAAAAAAAAGGAAAAGTTTGTTCTTGGCAGACTCCAAGCAACCAAACTTGAATTACTTTGAAGGATTGTGACTTGAGTCATCTGTGTTTTGTATGTGTGTGTTTCTTTCAGAAAAAGTCTTTTTGGCATTGTGAATTTTATATTACTCTGTTAAAGTATAACAGGAGCCCATCTTACGTTCCTTCAAAAAAGAAAAAACTCAACAAAACCAGAGAATTTTTTTAAAAAACACCCTCTGAAAATCTGAATTTGATGGTCTAGACCAGCCATTCTGAACAGAAAGCCATATGGCTTTCTGAGCCCTCATTGGAGCTCCTGGTACATTTGAAGGGGGCCACGGACCGGACACAGTTCTTCACACACCATCTGACAAGGTTTGTTATATGACTTGTACAATCCTGATTTGGCCTGTATTTCTTTCATACTGTGTTCATGGCTGTGGCCAAAAAAAGGTTGAGAATGGCTGGTCTAGACTTGTGTGACTTTTGGACATTTGAGATTTGAAGGTACACAATTCCTCTGCACTGGCATTGCTGTTCCGAGTGCATTTGCGCTGAGTGCAAAAGAAACGGGACAGGAAGGCAGGACTGTTGCTTTGGAATCTCATGTGAAGATTACGTGAGTTAGTGGTTCTGGTGTCTGACTGGAAATTAGAACATTCTGATTCCTTCCCTCTCCCTCATACTCCCCAAGGTTCCATTGGGATTGCCTTCCTTGTGGGGAAGGCTGTGGGGTCTGTGGGACATGTGAAAGGTAATTAACTTTTCCTTCCCACTTCCATGTCTCTTAAGAAGCCTCCCTCTACCCCATACAGAAAACATGATGGACATTTTCTGGAATTAGAGAGAAGTGATTGCTAGACAACTCCATGTGTGGATGGGAGGGGGGCTGAGATTGGATCATTGTGGACTGCCACAATGGCTCCTGCTGTCAGAGAGAGAGGGAGGGAGGGAGGGAGGGAAGGATGGATGGATGGATGGATGGATGGATGGATGGATGGATGGATGGATGGATGGATGAATGAATGAATGAATGAATGAATGAATGAATGAATGAATGAATGAATGAATGAATGAATTCCTGCTGCTATTATGGCTGCTTCTGAAATCTGGAGGGTTTACAACAACTCTCTGGCATAGGAGACTGCATGATACCTCCACCAATTTTTGGCACTGCATGTTTATCAGCATGTTTATCAGCCACCACACATGGCTGGACAGAAATACAACCTGAGGCATCATGCCACATACAGCCCATGGACTGTGAGTTGCCCACCCCTGCCCTGTATGTGCTCTTCATTTCCAGTGGGGAAACAGTTTGGTAGGCAAGTTGAATAAAATGAACCCTGGAGCCTTGGTTACTTAGCTTTACTATAAATTACCACACTGCCTCACAGGAGTGTCTGACAAATTGTTGTTCTTTTCCTTCATAAGCTGTTGGTGAGTTCTGTATAAGCCTTTGGTGACATCATGTTCAAGCTTTCATTTGTTGCTAAGGGGCTTCTTATGTCATAGTGAGGGCCCTCACCTTGCCTTAAGCTTATTTATGTAAGGGGAAGTTTTCCTCAGGCATACGGATGGAGTGATTTCGCCTTTCTCTCCAGCCCTCTTCTGAGGGTGGTGTCCACAATCAAGTACATGACTCACTAAGAAGAATTAAGAAGTATGTAAAGGTACAGTATAGTAGTATATCTAGGCTATCTGGGCCCATCATGAGAGCACAAGCCTCACTAGAAAAGACAGCAGTGCTTGGAAAAGATGAAAACAGCATGAGAAGAGAGGAAGACCAAATATAAAATAGATGGGCTGAATAAAGGAAGCCACGGCCTTGAGTTGACAGGACCAGAGCAGGGGTGTAAATGAAAGAATATTTTGGATTCACTAGTGCAGAGGGTTGCATCAGGGCAAAAGTAACTTAAGGGCAAACAACAAAGTTTATCTAGGGTGGTGATTAGAGATGTGCACGAATTAAAAATTCCTTAAAAATCGCTACTTTGTCAATTTATATCCGTATTCTTTCCTGATGAATAAAAATTAACAAATTTTTAGTGATTTTTGATTCATCAATTCAAGAGTCAGACACTTCTCCTGGCTCTCCTCTACAATCCTTCCGAGTTTGGTGAAGATTTGGTTTTGGGCATCCAGTTTATATACAACAAAGTGCCCTTTGGCAGCTGGCTTGTGGCCCTGCTGGCATTTCTCCCAAGTTCCCCTTGTGGCCCTGCTGGCATTTCTCCCAAGTCCCCTCACCTGCCAAAGGGCACTTTCCTGGGGGACCCACTTGTTCTAAAGGGCACTTTCCTGGGGGGCCCACTTGTAGGATTGCAACTGCCATCATTACCAGCTGGCATAACCAACGGTGAGGAATGATGGGAATTACAGGGAGTTTGAATATCTGAAGATTCACTTGTTCCTCCTTTCTGTTCTAAAAGGAAGGGAGCCCCTGGCTTTTTGGCAGCGATGTGGCTAGGAGCCATTTAGCAGTGCAGCATCTCTTCCTGCAGCTATTAAAGGGTGTCTTTCAGGCTAATACTGAATTTCAGCAATCCATGCCTGGTAACTGCAGGAAGAGCTGAGCAAGACGAGAGTGGTTATGTAACTAGCAAACTATATGTGCTACAGTGAAGCACTTAATTAAAATAAAAATTAAAACGAGAAGAAGAAAGTGTCTAGAAGTAGGCAAAAGATTCTGGTAATCGTATAGTTGTATTTTTTCTCTCTCAGCTAGACAACACAAGGGCAGTGACATCTCAGTGGGCTGCACATAATTTGTTGTCAGTTGTTAATTAAAGGCTTCCTTTTTCCATCTCATTACAATTTAACCAAATGCAAGACAGAAGGGTGGTGAGGAGAAAAGGGTTTTCCTTGTTCCTAGGCTGTGGGGAGTTTAAATATTAAACCAGACAGGGAAAGATGGAGAGGGGCTACTATCGTACATAACAGAGTTAATAAGGTTATGTGGCCTGTTAATAAGCGCTGCATCATGGGGCTGTCTTTTTTTTTCTTTTCAGTATCCTGGGTGGTTTGTGTGTATCTGTGTCTGTAATCTATCTAGGGGCTGCCCATGGTGGTGGTATCAGGGGCTGAAATTAGTGATGAAGAGGACCATGCCCTTTGCAGTATTCATTCATTCATTCATTCATTCATTCTTTCTTTCTTTCTTACTTACTTACTTACTACCTCCCTACCACACCATTTTCTCTCTCCATCTTCCTGTCCCTTCCCTCTCTCCCCAGCTGGCAGAGTATAATGCAGAGAAGGTTCTCATGGGCTCCATGCCTCCCCACAAGCCCTACACCAGTTTTGCTTTAATTTGGAAAAAAAAATCACCCCAAACATTTTTTGAGGGCCTCATAGATCCCAGTTCTCTTCCACTCACCTCAGTTTCTTAAAAAAAAGTATCTATGTATACAGTATTTATATAGAGATGTGTCAGGGAGAGAGAACAGGATGCAGGGGGGCTTTTTTCAATTAAAGACAAAACCCTTCACATTTTATATAAGAGGATTATGGGGGTATCATGAGAGGGGATATGGCCTCCATTATCCAGAGATGTGTGGGTGTGACCAATGGCCCTCTGAAGGTTGCCTATCACAGATTGGTGTTTTGAAGGCCTGAACTATTGCTTGCAGAGATATTTTAAAATAAGTCTCACAGCCATATGCATCAGTTTGCCCACGTTGCTCTGTGTCAAGGGTGGAATTGTGTACACTATGCATGTTGGCCTCCCGAGGCTTCAGTGTGGCCCCCAGACCTATCCCAACATTGAAAAAATGTGGCCAATTGTAGCTCCCACCCCATCCCGCCCCGAAGCCTTCTGGAAGTGCACATGGCCATTTAAAAGCAAACTTTAACCTTGTTTTAGGCCTGAAATAGCTTTTCCCAGATGCAGAAGGGACAAGTGCACCTCGCCAAGGTTGGGGAGGGTGAAAATGGAGTTGGCGTGCTGATGCCGCCCCTGCTTTGCATACTTACATGATCTCTCTTTACATATTCTGTATTATTATATGCTGCCTTCCCCAATATGGCCTCCTCCAGATTTACTGGACTACAACTCCCATCATCCCCAGCAAACCATATATTCAGATGGAACTGCTTTAGAAAACAACAAGCATCATAGCTCATTACCAAGTGTTAATGCTGTCACTGGCTGCAGCAGAAACCCAGTGTTTCCTCCTTGACTGGTATGCCCAGAGTGGTGGTATTTATCATATGGAGTTTCTTGCATCGTCATCCATCCATCCATTTGATATGGTCTTTGAAACCCTAACTATTGTCCGAATCTTAATCGTGCCGATATAAGCCATGTAAAAATCCGTGCAATAAATATGGAGAAGGAAATATCATGTTAGCTGAGTCTAGGAAAGAGGCTCTGTTAACTAAGATTTTTTTTTCCTCATCCCAGTTTGTATCAAACGTGATTTCACGTTTCCAATTGCCTACAAAATCAAATGGCACCTCAAATGAATAATGGCCACTGTTCTACACGTACCATGTGCTAGAACAGTGGTTCTTAACCTTTGTTACTCAGGTGTTTTTGAACTGCAACTCCCAGAAACCCCAGCCAGCAGAGCTGATGTTGAAGGCTTCTGGGAGTTGCAGTCCAAAAACATCTGAGTAACAAAGGTTAAGAACCAGTGTGCTAGAAGATACATGATAACTCTCACTTCAATAGAAAAGCCTCAAATAGGCATAATATAATCAAATCATGGGATAAAAAGAGTAAATAATCGCATTACCATTTTAAAAATGCAAAGAATTGAGATTGAGACTGGTAATTATACTAATACTGTACATAGCAGACATGTATGTTTTTCATTCTCTGCTCCCTCTGCCCTCAATAAGTACTAATTCTGATATCATGTGCCTTGCATTTCTCTATTCCACTTTGCTAGCTATTGGGGTGGGGGGAACACAAGAGGTATACTGGGGCATCAGTTCAGTGTGATTTGTGTGGACCTGGCTCCTGTCCAAATGTAAGATCAGGAGATTTTGTTTTCTATGCTTAAAAACACATGAATGTTGCCATGTTCATTTCAGCCACATGAATCATAAAATCCGTGTCCTGAAAAGTCCTGACAGTGAGGCTTTTAAAACTCATTAGATATGTTTTGCTTTCATGGCTCAAGACTGATATTCGCATGTGGTCTGAAAGATCTGGACAGAGTTAAGAGAAGTATTTTTTGTGGATTACAACTCCCAGAATCCTCATCTACCGGAACTACAAATTAGCAGAATCTACCATCCAGCAAGGCTTCCAGTTCCATAGAGGCTCACCATGGTTTATACCAGGATTACTTTATAGCAGTATCTGGAGAAGCCAGGAGCCATGCTAGCTGAGGGATTCTGGAACTTGTAGTCCAAATACGTAAGTTTTCCTATGTTTAGTAACATTGCTATGCCCAGACATCACTGGAAGATAGCAGATTGTTTAAGTAACATGGAGATCCTCATATTGCTCGAGGGTCTTTTAGTGCTACAACATAAGTACCAGTTTTTAGGTGCAGCATTATTTAATACACTCTTTATTAAATGTATTATTTTCCCTGCTATTTGGACTTCTTGTTTCTTCTGTTCTAGCATTTTTATCCTGTAGGGACTTACTAAAGCCTTTGAGAATACTTACTAAATTGTTCAATCTTTTCATATATTTATTTTTTGCACAATATTTAGCTTGTTTGTTTTAATTTAAATTGTTGTAGTGATGGTTGTGAGTCATTGTGGTGTAATGGATAGAGTGACAGACTAGGATTCAGTAGACTTGGGTTTAAATCCTTGCTTGGCCATAGAAACTCACAGGCGGAAGGGCATGGTGTCTGGATATAATGGGAGTTAGAGTACAACACATATGGCCAAATTGGGTAAATCCAGCTTATACCTTTCTTTAAGACATCTTAAAGGTACAGTCTGTAATTAACGCTGCATTCTTGTGTATTTATTTATTTTCAAACTTCCTTTTAAAGCTCCCAAACTTCTTTTCTCTAGGTAAAGCTGGTTAGCATTGATGCAGCTGAAATAGCAGATGGAAACTCTTCTATGATACTGGGCCTGATATGGAACATAATCCTGTTTTTTCAGGTAGAAACAAAAACATTGCTGTAATTGCTTCTTATGTATTCCATCAGAATTTTTCAGTTTTAATGTATTATAGTTTTGTCAAATATATGCAGCTCTTTTATTTTCCCAAATTAACAGCAGTGCATAATCTGGACAAATAGTATACAGCGGTGCCTCGCTTTACGATCGCTCCGTTTAACAACGAAACCACATTACGGTGAACTTTTTGAGATCACTTTTGCAATCGCTTTACAATGTTTCCTATGGGGGAATTTCGCTTTGCTATGATCGGTTCCCTGCTTCGGGAACCGATTCTTTGCAAAACAATGATTTTCGGACAGCTGATTGGCGGTTTCAAAATGGCTGCCAGGTAAACAAAATGCCCCCCCCCCCTGTTTTCTGGGATGGATTCCTCGCTGCACAGGCAGCGAAAATGGCCA